TTTCAATTTTAACATGTATAAAGTAAAAGAATTTTTTTTTTACCGAAACCCAGCTCTTCTAGGTTTCTTCATCTCCATGAATTTCATCCTCAACACTGTTGCTCAAGCCCAAACCTATGAATCACCCATGAGTTCAATGCTTCTCTTAACCCAACATTCAATCCATAAGTAAATCCTATCAATTTTTACACATCATATGCGAAATTTGTCCTTTTACCTCCAAACCAATGAAGAAAGGTTTATATTGTGTTGTATTTTTCTTATCTTACAGTACAGAATATAGCCTCTCTGAATTCTACTTTGCCCCTTTGAATATAGGTTAATTTTCAAATATTTAAAGATTTCTAGATAATTCATTGTAATTTGTTTCTCATTTAAATATATAGTCAAAGAACATACTCTGTGGGATTTCAATTCTTCTCAATTTATTAAGATTTGTTTTATTTCAGGTTGTGGTCTACTTTGTTGAACATACTATGTGTGCTTAAACATAATGTAAATTCTGTAGTTGTTTGGTGTTATCGGTATAAAACTATCAATTAAGTCAAAGTGGTAGCTTTTGTTATTCTGATCTTATGTTGTTGCTAATATTTTTTCCTAACTATTCTATCAATTGGTGAGAAAGAAATGGGTTACAATCTTCAACATCGATTGTGGAATTGTTTATTTCTTCTTGTATATTTGTCAAAGTGGCTTCATGTGTTTTTAAATTCTGTAATTAGGTCCATAAAATTTTGTGGTTCTTTTTTTTTTAGTTGGAGTCTCACTCTGTTGTGATTAGCTTTAAGTCTACTATTTTTTGATTTGTTTTCATTTTCCTATATGCTTTTTGTTGTTGTTGTTTTCTTTTTTCTCCTTTCCTATTTCCTTCTGAAATTTTAAAACATTATTTGTAATTCCATATTAAATTATTAAATTTTAGGTTATATATTTTTGCATTGATTTAAATGTGCTACTCTAGAGATTATAATAAACTCTAACTTTTCACAATCTACTTATGCTTAATAATGTACCACTTTATGTAAAACATAGAAACCTTGCAATGGTATTACTGGTAAGTCTATTTTGCTCACCTCCACCATCTTTTTTGTTGTATTTATTGCATGTATTACCTTTTCATACATTATAAATCACATATACATACATAATGACAAATCTAGTCTTTTATATTTACCTTATATTTATAATTATTGATTCTCTTTAACTATTTCTGAAGTTTCAAGTTTCCCTCTGGTATAATTTGCCTGATTAACTTGTTTTTAACATTTTTGGAGTATAGAGCTGGAGGAAATAATTATCTTAAGTTTTTTTATCCAAAAATTAATTTTATCTCACTCTTACTTTGAAGTATAGTTTTGCTGAGTACAAAATTTCTGGTTGAAGATATATTTTTCTTTTACCACTTCAAAGCCATTTCACTGTCTCTTCTGCCTTCTAAAGTCTCTGATAAGGTCACTGTCCTTCAAATCAGTGGTCCCAGATTGTGCTGGGTAATTTTCCTCTGGATGCTTTCAATATTTTCTTTCTCTTTGATTTGTATTCATTTTTAATGATGTACCCACTTGGCATGATTCTTGAAGCAGGTTGAAAACATCCTGCTGGAAGTTTACTGAGCTTATTAAATCTGTAAATTCATTTCTTTCATCAAATTAGGGAAGTTTTCAGTCATTTTAAAAAAATGTTTTTCCACCTTATTCTTTTTTTCTCAATATTGGGAATACTAACAATCTGTATATCATAAATTGTCCCAAAAGTCCCTGAATCTCTTTTAAAAAATTTTTTTTTCTCTCTCTCTTTCATATGGATGATTTTTGTTGCTCTGTCTTCAAGTTCACTGATTATTTCCTCTATTATTTTCTTCCTGCTATTAATCCTACTCAGTAAAATTTTAATTTTCAATGTCTTATTTGTAGTTCTAACATTTCCATTTGGGACCAAAAATTTTTTTTCTTTGCTGAGAATATTTTTTAAAAATTAAATATGATCATATTTTCATTTACTTCATAAAGCATAAGAATAATAGTTATTTGAAAATTTCTATCTAATAACTTAGAATATGAGTCAGAGCTGGTTCAAGTGTCTGTCACAGTCTGGTGCTGAGTTTACAAACATATTTAACAGCTCCCCTTATCTGGCTTTCTTTTTTGTAGATTCTTTTTCCTCAGTCTCTGGCAGCTGAGGTTACTCCACTGTCATTTCACCTGGTTTCTGAAAAATGCCAAGTCTTTGTATAGTAGTTTTAGTTAACCTACTGCCCTGGCCAGTATTGCTGCTGGTGTGACTGCAGCTGCCCTTAGAGTAAAGTTGCAGCCAAAGGAAAGAAGATACTCTCTGTCGATCATTCATTTCAATTTCTGACTTTTCTCCACAAAGTATTATAATTGCTTTTGTTCAGAGACTCAACTACTTGTTTGCTTTTATATTTTATCCAGAGTTTTTACATGTTATTTGGTGGGCAATGTTATTGTTAGAGGATTACTGTTGCGGACTGAAAATGGAGACACAAAGTAGTATTTTAAGACATTAGTCACACCATGCAAGATCCCTGCTTCAAACCCTTTCAAGGACTACCATCACTAGTAGAGTTTGATTCAATTTTTCTGACCTTTTCTCCTACATTATAGCCACAACAGTCTTCTTCTGGACACTTGAGCACACCAAATTGTTTCCACAGCAATTTTTGGAAACAGTTTTTTTTTTCTTTTAATTTCTTTTTGGAATAATCTGCTTCTATATTTTTGAATCTATTAAGGGCTGACTCTTTTAGAGTATACATATACATGTTTTAGTTGAGTCCCAGCCTATTCCTGTGTATAGTTTTTCTCTATTTATTCTGCATTATACCTCCCTTTTTCAAAAACATAAACTTGTTTTTACATGTTTGGATTGTTTGCTTTATGTTACTAAGAGGGTAAGGTCAGTGATAGTCTACGGTACCACCTTTCTTTTCCAATACCGTATCCTTAGGGCACGAAATTGTGCCTAATACATATTAAGTGCTCAATAAATAACATGTATAATGAATATTATTGAGTTGTAGTTCCACACCAGGTTTTCCCATAGGCCATAGGATAGCTCAAGGCATAAAATTTGCCTTTGAAGTGCACTGCCCACAGAGGAAGCCAAGGATTTTTTATGAGGCAGTCTTCAAGACAAATAAAAATTAGCATATTCTTGATCTCTGATGACTGCCATAAAGTGCTTGTGGTTGCCACTGTAGGGTAAAAAATGGGCATAGTAAGAAAACTAAAATAAAGAGAAAGGAGGGCTCTTTCAGATGTCTTTTAGATATTTTTTTCTCTTTATTTAGCAAATATATCATCTCTACTAGCTCTGCCATTTAAATGCTATCTTTGCAGGGAAGTTTTACCTGAATGCCAAATGAGGCAAAATTCCCTTTCTACTGCAATCTATGCTTGCCATATTAAGTTGAAGTTATCTTTGTGTCTGTGTCTTTTCCACCAGAATGCAACCTCTGTCAGGGCAATCCCTAACCAGGAGCAGAGCACTTCTTATAGAGCAGGCACCCATACACATCTGTGTCCAAACCACCAATATTTATAGGTAGTTAGAATGCTAAAGTGTGTCTGTTTTTCAGGTAAAAGACGGCTAGGCCCAAAGATACCTCTTTTTGAGGATTGTCCTGTTTTATATGTAGGTATAAAAAAATGAACCCAAGTGTACTGGCTGCAGAGCTGCAGCAGAATGACATTGACCAGCAGGCAGGGACTTTGACCAGGAATCCACAGAGCATATAATATACTCGGCCCACCAAAATTTTACTCACAAACTAAATGTCATGGAATCACATTTTATGATCTGGCAGTTCCTCATTAAGTCAGGTTTAACATTATTGCCAAAATCATACTACAAAAATATCAGTAAGCTTTTAGAATTCAAACATTTTTGCATATAATTAAAACAGGAAGCATTATGCTGGCTGATTGATTACACCATATCTCAAATAATTTTTAGAGATATGTAATATTTGAAATTCATCTACTCATGAGAAACCAAACACTCATGAGCTAGTAGTAAGTGACTGGGCAGAAACTTGAACTTGCATTCTCTGGCAGTAAGTCTACATTAATATGCAAAATAACTCATAGAAGTTATAGAAACTCACAATTTAAGCTGTCTTATCTGATAATATAAATGATTGCTGTTAATTTTATAATAAGATTAGCTTGCACATTACTGTCAAATAATCTATTATTAATTAAAAGGAGAAATTAGAACTGTATATCATATAAAATAAAATACCACAAATTCATTACATTATCAAGGTAATTTACTCCATATTATGACTAATTAGAAATTAGAATCTTTACTGAGGTTGTTCAGACATTCTCCCAATAGCCAATATAATTCTTGAGTTCTGATCATGTATCCTCTGTATAACTATAGAATACATAACTGTTTTGACACTATCACCAAAGATAACTTTAGGCAGCATATTTAGCACCATTTTGGAATAAGCTTTACATTATTTTAATTTTTAAGAAATTGATATTTCATTCCTAGTATTTATGTCATATTCCTCCCTACACATCAGCATATTTGACAATCATTGCCTTGTTAAGGAGCTGACAGCAAATGTCATATACACTAACAATAGCATTAACACTTTTAAAGTCAGCTTCAAAATTTTTATCCCTAAATATTGCCCAGAATTTAAATCAAAGTAACAAATGCACAATTAACCTGAGCAAAGGGAAAATGCCTACTCAGCACCTTAGAAAATGATCTGGTTGAGTTATGAGTCATCTAATTTTACAAAGCAGCAATAAAAATGAGTATTTCATTTTGCAGAGATATCACTGGCATTTACAACAGATGATTAAAATAAAGAGAAAAATAACTTTTGCATTTTATCAGAACAGGGACATTTTATCTTGGCATGAATTTTTGCCTCTGCAGATTTCCTCTACCAAATAAATATCTCCGCAAGTCATCAAGAGTCCAGTTATTCCCCAGGGACTCCCAGGACTGGGACTTACCTTGTGAAAGTTTCTGAAATAAGCTGCCTTTTCATCGGGAAATTTTTCTAACCTCCTAGGTCCTTTGCTAGAAGCCTTCTTGAAAACCAACCAGCATCGTCTGAAAATCTGAAAGCAAATACAAAAATCCCATTATGTATCTTACATGAGTTTACTAGCATTAAGAGTTTATTTATTCAAGTAATCTATTTGGAATATATTTTTAACTGCACTTATTTTACAGAAAATAGCTTCATTTTTGAGTGACAAGCATGTTCTTAATTAAAATTATTGCAAATTTGAAAGACACAATATTTTAATTTTAATTTTAATTTTTTGAGTTGGAGTCTCACTCTGTCACCCAGACTGGAGTGCAGTGGCCGCTCCCGGCCACCGCAGACTCGACCTGCTGGGCTCCGGTGATCATTCTGCCTCAGCCTTCCAAGTAGCCGGAACTACAGGCGTGAGCTACCACACCCAGCTAATTTTTGATTTATTGTAGAGATGAGGTCTTGCCAAGTTGCCCAGGCAGGTCTCAAATCCACAGGCTCAGGCAATCCACTCACCTTGGCCTCCCAAAGTGCTGGGATTACAGGCTGAGCCACTGAGCCCAGCAAGATACAATATTTTATATAAAATAATTTTTGTGAAAAGATTGTGTTATGAGGTTTTCAGTATGCTGGTTTTAACAGTGTTTAATATTACTAAATTATCTGAATGTCAACACCATATAAAATACTTATTCATACCATCCTAGTAACAGATAATTCTCCATTTTTCATGCTAGTGCAAATGGCAGCTTAATAAGGTTAAGTGAAGCACTTACATAATGCTCAATTTCCTATCTTTGAAAAAATATCACATTTACAAATTAAGTTAACGTGTAGGATTTTAGATTTTTAAAAAATAGTTGCTTATGTACTAACTTAGAAACAACAAAAATGTTTTAATAATGGTGGCATTGGTGTCACTCTTCTATACTTTCATGGTGACTAGTATTTATTAAATACATATGTGCAATAAATTTCAAAATTTATATAAACATTCAATGATCAAAATGAGGTATGGATAAATTAGGTATTATCTTCATTTTAAGATAGGGTGAATGATAATGTCAGGATTTGAACACACATCTGTCTGACTCTTAAGCTTTAGTTAATAAAAAACAGGACTGACTAATTACACTAACAGAAGTCATCATTTCTGGATTTTGCCTTTAATTTATAATACTAATTAATATTGGACCTTTAGATTGCTTGTCACCTGATTCACACCATATCACACTCCCTCCCCACAGGTATGCTTGAAAACAATGTAATAAAACGAGTCTTTCTTTCCAGTGATTGAAAAGCCTAACAATGTATATTGGTCACATGTCTTACATTACAAAATTTAGCATATTTTTTGTTGAAGGATAATTTCTCTGCACCCATGAAGAGATCACAGAAGGAATCATCAGAAATTTAGATCACTATAGTTTTCTTCTACATTGTCATTTGAATTGCAAATCTGGGGCTCAGTGGGGTGGCTCACACCTGTCTATAATCCCAGCACTGTGAGAGGCTGAGGCAGGAGAATCCATTGAACCCAGGATTTCTGGAATTTCTCTTAGCCTTGTAGACAAAGTGAGACTCAGTTTCTAAAAATGAAAATTAAAATTTAAAAATTGCAAAGTTGTCATACTATGCACTTTACAAATATAGACCATATAATCTAATTCCTTTGAAGTGTGCATTATCTTTTATTTACTAGAAGACAGTCTTTAAAAGGTACTTATAGAACAATCACATAAAGATCTCTCATTATAAAAGCAGGATAACAATACAAACACACACTTCGACTTCACTCTTGCTGTAGTTTTTAGATCCTCTCCAGTAGCCTTGAAAATCATAAAAAGGACAATCTTGAATTTTCTGTACATGTGAATGTGACCCTCTGCCTCTACCTGGATCATATACACCTATTCCATCAAATGATTCCTAATTGTGTACCTGGAAATTAGGAGCTAAAGTACTCCTTCAGGGTCCGTGCTGTTCTTTCTGTACACTGGTGTTTAGCACATTGTGTTGTAGCTCTTTGTTTATTTGTTGGTCCCTTAATCAGTTCCATCCCCAAAATATAACAATATTTAAAATAATAATGAATATAATATATCAGCATATAGTTTCTTTACCTTTAATTAACTCAATTCTACATGGACTTATTTAGTGTTGTTGAATTCTGCTTTTAAACTTAAAAATAAGTATTTACATTGCAAATGGAAACTGATTTAGAAAATGCAAATACACATATATAAGAAGAGATGGTTTGGTATTGTAGAAAATTAATACAGCATTGGAATCAGACAGACTTGACTTTACAATATGGTTGTGTGTCTGACTAGCTAGCTATGCAACCTTATACAAATTATTTAGTGTCTCAACTAATAAAGAAGGGAACCTCATGAAACACAGGGAGAATTTTCAAGATGGGCACAGAAAGTTTTCTTTCTAGCGCACAGAAAATTCTCCACCAGAGTCAGCTCATTTACTCAGTCTCCTTTTTCTTTTGTTTTTTGTTTTTTGGGTTTTTTTGAGTTGGAGTCTCATTCTGTCGCCCAGACTGGAGTGCGGTGGCCGCTCCCGGCCACCGCAGCCTCGACCCGCTGGGCTCCGGCGATCCTTCCGCCTCAGCCTTCCGAGTAGCCGGAATTACAGGCATGCGCTACCACGCCCGGCTGATTTTTTGATTTATTGTAGAGATGAGGTCTCGCTGCCCAGGCGGGTCTCGAACCCTCAGGCTCAGGCAAACCACTCACTTCAGCCTCCCAAAGGCGCAGGATTACAGGCTGAGCCACGAGCCCGGCTCTCCTTTTTCTTATAGAGTAGGTGAAATTTGCTGCATATGACAAAGCTATACACATGCACACTTTTTTCTTAATGACACAAAATTCTAACAAATATTCATATCCAGAATATTCAGGTGCAAATGTTCTTCATTCAGAAGAATTAGGGCACTATTTCAGAAATTTTAGAAAATAAATAGAAAATATACTAATTAATGATCTTCCAAACATAGACTGTGAAACTAAAGACTGGAGTTGAAATTCCAGTTTAGCCTCTTGTTGGAGCACATAACTTTGAAGGACAAGTGATTTAAGCCTTCTGAGTTTTATTCTTAAATTAGCTTGGGGAATAATGCCTATATCAAAGGACCATTGTGGCAGTAAAAAGAAATTAGGTATATAAAGCTCATGCCACAGTGCATACAGGGGAGTAACTAAATACAAAGTAGTTTAAGATAAAACAGATAAAATGCTCTTAGCAAGAGCAATCTTGTTGAGCACATCCATAACCATTATGGATATTTATATATATTATAAAAATTATTGCTTGCACCAATATGTTTTTAAAGGTTGCAAGTGATTTCCATAATTATGGGAATCATGTTATGCATAATATCAATAGCCAAGTTTGTTTAAATATTTCATTGACTACAAATATGAGTTCTAGCTAATTTCACAGCGGTTTGGGTATTGTTAAGCAATATAGCTATTTATATTTACATTTACCAATACACAGCTGAAGAAAAATTCATTAAATTTACTACCTTCCTAAAATTGCTCTCTCCACAATATAGCATGAAGTAATTTTTGCACAGGATAAACCATTTCACTCAGACGCTAACATAACTCACATCTGTGTATTGGAATTCAGTGTATTATATTGTAATGCCTAAAAATATAATTTTTTTTCTTTTGGTAGACTCTTACTATGTTGCCCAGTCTGGAGATTCATGGCTCACCACAGCCTCTAACTTTTTGGGCTCAGGCGATCCTTCTGCTTCAGCCTCTCAAGTGACTGGAACTACACGTGTGTAACTCCACACCCAGATATTTTTATTTTTTTATAGAGATGAAATTTCACTATGTTGCCCAGGCTGGCCATAAATTCCTTGGCTCAAGCAATCCTCCCACTTCTCAAAGTGCTCAGATTAAAATGTAAGCCACTGCTCCAGGCCAAACATAGTTTTTTAATCAGAACAATTTGATTTTTGTTGCAGGTTCTACTATTCATTAAATGCCTTGCCTTGCAGAAGTTATTTTAACTTTTGTAAGACTTAAATTCTTCATCTATAAATTAAGGTCAACATATCTCAGGTAGTTGCTCTTTGAGGATTATAAGAGGTAGCCTGCAGAAAACATCCAGCGTGTGTGTTTGAAAAGTATTCTTATCTGAAATTTTGGGTTCGGGGTACTGCTATGGACTGAACTGTGTCCATAGAGAATTCATATATTGAAGCCTTAACTCCCATTGTGATGATATTTGGAGACGGGTTTGAGAGAGGTAATTAGGGTTAGATGGGATCATGAGGTTGGGCCTTGATGATGAGATTAGTTGCTTTTATAAGTAGAGACACCAGAGAGCTTAATTTTTCTCTTGTCCTGCTTGTTCACTAAGAAGTCATATAAATACACAATGAGAAGACAGTTGTCTGCAAGTCTGGAAGAGAGTCCTCACTGGAACCTGACTATGCTGGCACTCTGACCTCAAACCTATAGCCTACAAACTGTGAGACTGTGAGAAAAGAAATGTATGTGGTTCAAACCACTCAAAGTATGGTATTTTGTTGTGGTAGCCCTAGTTAAGATACTTTTAGATACTATTTTTTTTTATCAAGTAGAGATGGTGGGATAGTGCTGGTTATGATAGTTGTAGTGGCAGTAATACTGTAGAAGCAAAAACACAGTTAAATGAATCTGAGTAGAACTTGAGAGATTGGCAACAGATAAATATTATCTGCATAGTGTGGTGTATATAGTGATCAATATTTGGCTCAGTTTTTCACTAATGGATTTAAAGTCCTGGTTGAGGTAAGAAAGCTCACCTTAAATAGAATTGCAAGTCACCTCTCTGGAATATGGATATCATCTTTTCGTATAAAAGAATGCTATTCCCTGTACCTCTTGTCACTTTATTGTTCATAGCTCGGGAACAATCATGATGTTAAATGAAGCCTTGCAAGATTTGTGAAAACACACAAACTCACTGACTGCAATTTTCTCTCATATTACCATAGTTATTTCTATTAAAGAGTAAGTTAAACATAAGCCAGCAAGCATAAGTGTTTCTATTTACGCACTCAATATT